CATCTGCTGTCCATGGTTTATTATGGGCCCAGCCTCCAGGCCATGTCTCCTGAGTGTGGCAGCCTTAGGATTCAACCACTGGCTTAGTACCTTTTTGGGTACTAAGAAACCTTTTTGGGGCTCTGAGAGGGCCTGCGCTGTCAGGCTGGGTGTCTGGTCTTCTAGCCAGTGCTGTATTAGAGCAATCCTCCTGGTAAGTATACTGCACAGCTTGACCCCTGGCCTAAATGTTGCTTCAAGTGCACCCTTAGGTATACAAATTGAAAAAATTTCCTGCATCTCACAGCTTCACCTTGGGCTTCAGGCAGGAAGGCTGTCAGCTGCAGTAAAGTTTGCCACAAAGAGGCCAGAACGCTAAGTGTAACTCAGCCAGGCAGGTGAATCCAGCAGTAGAGACTGCTGGCTAAAGAGCAAAGTCTATGAAGGCACAGAACAGTGTATGATTTCTGTTAGAAATCTCTAAAGGATACTTGAGAAACTGGTTGTTTCAGGGGAGGGAACTAGGGTCATGGGTGGTTGGCAGACTCTCTCTTCTCCATGCCCTTCTGTGTGAGTTTTGTACCATGTGCATGTAATTCCTAAACAGAGAAGAACATGGGTGTTGGAGTAAGATGGGCTTGGGTTTGAATCCTGCTCTGTTACATGGCAACAGTCACAGCTAACATTTATGGAGTGATTTCTGTATATTGGGCATTGTGCTAATTTAGATTTATTTGCTCTTTACTGGTAATATGACAACGGGTGAGTGACATTTTTCTCTGAGTCTGTTTCCTCCTTTCTAGGTGGGGAATGGTAATGCTTTTCAGGGTTGTTAAGGGAATTAAATGAGGCCATTAGAAAGCACTTGATAAGAGTGCCTCACACTTTGGGAGACTCAGTAAATGGAAGCTGTTCATTGTGGCTTTAGTCCTGCCTGGGGCGGGGCTTGGAGGTGGAGGGCAGGGCACTGGGAGGAGCTGCAGAGACGCCTTTCTTAGCAGTCTGTAGGAGAGAAGTGGTCGCCTTAACCTTGAGGCATGATGAGTGTACTGCAGTTCCATAGTTCCCCCTTAGAGGTGGCTTTTCTGAGAAGCCAAAGACACTGGCAGTGAGCAGGCCTTTGCCAGACTCCTTTCCAGAAAGATTCAGTTTTTACAGTGCTGGTATTTTTACCCAAGCCCTTGTCAACATCGCCATTGTCCCGGGGGTTTATGTGGCATCTTTCTGAATGAGAGTTCTGTCTAGCTCTCACCTCTGCCTGTGTCATTCCTGTTGCCTGGTACAGTACTCCCCCCAGCCGTGGGTTCTGGTCTCTTGTTAATGTTTTTGGAATGAGGGAGTATATAAACTAGATGAAAGAAGAGAGTTGTTTATCTTATCAGCGCACCTTCCCTAGAAAACCAGTGGGGAAATCGGTAATATGGGGGAGAAATCATGGTACTCAGAGTTTCTCTGAGATCTCTAGGCTTTCTGCCTTATGTAAAATTCTGAACTACATTGGCAGCTTAAAATTGTGGATAATATAACAAACTCCCCTGTGCCCCACTCAGACAAGGAATAAAATGTTACTGGCCTGACTTTGGGGTCAGTGGGTGGATTTCAGCCTTGGCACAGTGAGTCACCCTCAGAGCTAAATCCTGACGCCTGAGTTCCACACTCCCTCACCCCGCACCTCCACAAGAGCCGGATGTACTTGGCAAGGTATGGTAGGGCTTTAGGACTTTAAAGCACTCTGCAGGCGATTCTGATGTGTGGCCAGGATTGAGGACCACTGATATGGCTCTTTCCATAAATTACTTTTGCTATAGCTGTTGATGCCCCTAAACAATATATTGTTGGTGTGTTTTTAAACCTTATATAAATGGTGTTATAGTGTTTGTAGCCTTTTTGTTTTTGCTTTGCTTAGCATTATGCTGGTGAAATCAAGCCTCGAATAAATAGCTATAGTTCAAATAATTCCCTGCCCTAGAGTGTTCCATTCTAGGAATATACTGATGTTTTTGGATCCATATTCTGTTTATGGTCATTTAGATTGCTCCCAGTGTCCACATTAGCAATATTCTTGAACAGTCTCCCTGGCATGTGTGAGTTTCTCCAGGGCAGCGCTTCCCAGCCTTTGTCACATCCAGAAAATCCTGTATTTACTTTGGTAAATGAGAGTTTCTTGGACTCCCCAGACCCTTCCCAGCTACCTCAGGGGCTGCAGCATTAAGATCTTACCCACCATTGGGAGCTTTGTCCTAGAGTTTAATCCCAGGAGAGGAATTGAGGGATAGCATCTTTGACTTGATTAGATATTAGCAGTTATGTCAATTTACACTCCACACAGAGGTCTGAATTTTTGCTGATACCGGGCACTATCAAATCTTTTATTTATTGCCAATTCGATGGTTACAGTATGGTACTCTGTTGTTTTATTTAACATTTACTAATGTCTAGTGTGTTGAGCATCTTATCGATCCTTTGTGTTTCATCGTTTAGCTCCCTGATTGCATGTTTCTTACACATTTTTCCCCTTTCCCTTTTTGCTTTGTAGAAAGATGTATTCTGTATCCTATTTATGGTTTTATGTTATAAACATAAACAACATAGTCTGACTTGTTTTTATGTTGTTTTTTCCATTTCAGTCTCTGATCTACCTCAGTGGTATTCAGCCAGGGATGATTTGGACTCCCAAGGGATATGTGGCATTGTCCAGAGACATTTCTGGCTGTCACAGATTGGGGGTGGGAGTGCTACTGGTATCTAGTGGGTACGGACCAGGGATGCTGCTAAATACCCTACAATGCACAGGACCGTTCCTCCGTAATAAAGAATTATCCAGTCCAAAATGTCAGTAGGGCCAAGGTTAAGAAACCCTGTCTAGAGATTCTGATTCGGGATTGAAGCAGCTTCCTAGAAAATGAATTTGTAACAAGTACCTAAGGTGACTTATGATCAAGCAAGTTTGAGAACCACAAAAATAGAGGATAAGTACCTCAGTATGGATAAGAGAGGTCAGTGAAAGCTCTCTGGAGGAAGTAGGGGGAGGGAAAGGAGAGAGGAAGTACATGGTAAGGCTGGGAGAAGGTGAACCTAGTGGCCCAGTCCCGCTGACCCCAAGAGAAGCCACACACACTCCTTCCTGGAGCTGGAACATGCCCCGCCTGTGACGGCTGCTGCTGCTCTGTTCTTAAGCAGTGATGATGAAATGTGCAAAGGGCTCATCGTCAAAGATGTAATTTGAGTGCTGCCAATAGACTCAGCATTGTGCAATGAGCTTCCCGTACATTCTCACGTCATACCTTTATGCCAGCTCTATGAGGCACTAGTTTTAGAAAAACTGCTGGACAAAAAGGTTAAGTGAAATACTAACGTCATCCAGCAAGTACGCAAAGCTGGGTTTCCAGAACAAGTTTACACTCTTAACCTCGGTGCTGTGCTGTGTGTCTCAAACCATCCCAGAGCTTCTGGTCTGCACCCCACCTGTTAGCCTCTCCAGCCTTGTCGAAGGGACCGCCGGACCCCAGGCTGCTGCTCTGACTTGTACTAAATAAATAGCCTATGCACTCTGGCAGCAGGAAAGATACCCCATGAGCAAACAACTGCTTGGCTTCCATTAGCTTTTTACATGCAAGGCTTTTGAGCTGTTTCAAAGGGATAGATTCCTGCTCTGAAAGCAACTAAAAAATTTCAGAGTCACAGTGCTAATTGAAACCTCATGGAGAGTGTGCCTGGCTCCATTGCCCTTATTTGTCCAAAGTATGATTCCTTTGCCACAAGCATTTCCTGATGGCATTCTTGAGCTGGAGCCCAGTGTCACGGTCCGCCCATTCGTTTATGGAAACTCCGGACAGTCACTTGGGTAATTGATTTCAGGGGCCCTTGTTCTTTTCGAGCAGCTGAGTTGTCTACGCGTCAAAGGCAGAATGTGTGTTTTCTTCCCAGAGCAGCTGGATTGAATTGGTTGCCATTTCTCTTAAAGACTGAGGTTCTACTTGTCTTCTCAATTCTGGCGAAAGGAGTTTTCCTAAGTTTCCTACTTGTTCTTTGTGGTCTAGTCCTGCCTCCCCAACTTTGGGAATGTCCCTGAACTTCTGTGAGACTCTGTGTTCATTTGTTCACAGGAAAATGAGCCTCCTTCTAAAAGAACTGTTGGGAAGATAATACGGTCAGTCTTTCCACATCTTGTCAGCTCGTTGGAAAAAAAGCGGTAGATTCAGGGTAGCAGAGAGGTTACCAGCTGGTGGCCTGCAGGACCACTGCAGCCTACAGATATGTTTTGGTTGCCCTATGGTAGGTTAATGACAGTTTTTTAAAAAAAATTAGTTTATCATTCTTTAAAAATTAGGATATTTCACAGAGAAGTCTGAATTTTTGGTTTTGCTTGGAACATGAGAGGCTCACATAGCCATGGCCCCACGTTCCTGCCTGGCTACTCTTAGCTGGAGTGGAAAGAGACCTCCCTCCTTCCCCAGGTGTGGCAATTCTCTGGTCACTATCAGCCCAGCCTGGCTGCACTCAGTTATCCCGCCTGCTCAAGGCACCCGTAGGCATCTGAGCTGCGTAGCAGATACTAAGTCCGTACTTCATTGTCTCAAATGTAGAAAGAAGCGATGGTATAATTAATGTACAGCAGTCACTGGCAGGGTATGTGTGATTTACCTCTTTCTTCCTCAAGACCAGGGTTCGACTCTAGGCCACACATTTGCATTGCATCTGCCCTGATTGGGGATTATTCTCACTGTTCTCAGGAAACCACAGTGGTGTGGAAGTACAAAGTGGAAGGCTCTAGAGAGACAAGACCAGACCAAAGGCCCGGGAACCATGGGTTGTGGAATAGTTGCAAGAGGAACATGGAAATAGCCTTGTTACCAACTCCTCTGGTGAATGTTGCAAAGACTACTAAGTGGTCCACTGAAACCATGAGAGAGCTCTTGGCAGGGCTGGATTTGGGGGATGAGCGGATGGAGGGAGGTGAGCGGACCTCTGACTCTAGATGCGAAAAAGATATATTCGCTGCTCTTGGCTTTCGTTGGTCTCTGCAGCTGATCCATGGCCTGGGGGTCTGAGGAGGACACGGGGCAGGGCACAGTGGTGTTAGGGGTGGAAATGTGGGCCCCTTCTCCTGAACTGTGAGCAAAGGGAGCAGGAAAGTGGGGGCATAAGGTTACCGATTCCTTTTTAAACCTCCTAACTGCCCCATGCATTGGTGTTTTCTCACATATAATATGGCACAGAAGACCTGATGCTGCCTGCTGGTCGGGAAGGCCAGGACTTCAGTGTCTGTTTGGCTTCCCATTTTCTATCCAGATGTACTTGATCTTTGTTTTATTCCTACTTCCCTTTTCCATACCATCTTCTCTGCCCAGTCTCCGATCCTATTTCCTCCACCAAATACCACTTCCAGGGACATTTGCATTTCAGTAGAGGAGTTTTGAAAACCCATCACATCTCTAGTGGTGGAATGCCAGGCCAGTGCTAAGACTGGAGAGGACACTGAGAAGTGGAAGAGCTTGTCTTCCTGGCCCCACCCCCCCAAATTTTTCGTGGTGCCTAGTTCTGGTCAGCAGTGGGCATTTTTAATAAAAGCAAGTTCCATCTCCCCACGTTACACTTAACTGCTTGAGGGCAGAGTCTGTCTCCTTCACCATTTTATCTCTGATTGTCACTAGCTCTTAAGTGCATGTTTGGGGAGTTAAGGATGGAACTTCCTGTGGTGGTGCTGGTGAGTGTTCAGGGGGTCACCCCCAAGAGCCGAAGGTCACACTCTACAGGAGTGAGCCTTCTGCTTCCTTAGAAATGGCTCTGTTATTTGTGAGTCTGAAAAAAGTCTTATAGAAAGAGGGAGTCGATATTTTTACTCTAGAGGCCTTTCCCTAATGTTAGGGTCATTTGGATTCATTTTATCCAGGTATGATGGTCTAGGCCCCTCTCAGGGTGTTCTTGTCTAAGGAGTTTTTGAAGGTACTTTAGAAACACGCTTTTAGGCCTCGGACCCAGGCATCCAAAAGAGCCTGAGACCAGATGAGCCCTGGGTGTGGTTGTCTCCAACCAGCAGAGTCTGGAGTCTGTAACAGAGCTGCCCCAGCAGGGCCTAGCCAGCCTTATGCGGTGGCTCTCTCTGTGGTCCTGCACTTCCTGGGAGGTAGAGGGAGCTGGAGACACCCCAGTTCCTCTCAACGCCTTCCAAGAGAGGAGGGCCTGTATACTAGCCCCTCCTATCCTCCTTCCACTGCAGGCTGGATCCTCATTGACCGCTGTGGGAAGCACTTTGGTACGATACTCAACTACCTTCGTGATGGGGCGGTCCCCTTGCCTGAGAGCCGCCGGGAGATCGAGGAGCTGCTGGCAGAAGCCAAGTACTACCTGGTCCAGGGCCTGGTGGAAGAGTGCCAAGCAGCCCTACAAGTAGGCATCACCTTTTCTTTCCCTGGAGTGGGAGGCCTCAGACCCACCTGCTTTCCTCCTTCCCTATCCCCCTGCAAAGTGAGGGCAGCTCCTTCCTCACTGAGCTCTTGTGAGAGTTAATGAGTTGACCCTGAGGCTTCTTCTCTTTGGTCAGAGTGACCCCTAAGAGGCTTTTCTGTAATGCTTAGGCCACCTAACTGCTCTTTGGCTTATCTCATTCTCCATGTGTATATCGCAGCCCTTAAGTACTGAGCCATGCGCCATAATACTTGATCTGTTTTCTGGATCCATCTTGAGTCTTATTCTCGCCCCATACGTTATCGTCGGAAGTCTAGTATAACATCTGCAGATACAAACACCTCTCACTCCTCAGCTGGACCTGGGGCAGGAGTATCAAGGGTCAAGTCTAGTGATAGCAAAATTTCTATAAAACCAACATGCTTCAAGACATAGCCAATGGCCATTTATTTTAAACAAAGATCCAGCATGGCAGAGAATCAGAGTCCCTTTGGGTTGTCCCAGGAGTTGGATCTATATACATGAGGCTTTTATTTGGGCCACCCCAAGCCACATGTCTCTCTGGCCCTGCACTGGAACAGTACCCATAATGCCTGGCTTCTCAAGGAACAGTTTCCACATACCACCTCTACCCTGAGAGTCTGTGAACTCACTATAAATCTAAACAAATGTAGCCTTTACTTTAGTATTTTTATTTTATTTTTATGTTTATTAGAGTAATACATGTATATCATTTAAGAAATCACATAGCATTGCAAGGTTGGTCTTAAAAACACCACTATGTGCTCTCTCCTCCCCACCCCTCAACCCCAGGCAGCCTCTTTTAATTCTTTCAGCAGTTTTTTTACTTTCATATTTGTTATACTGCTCTTTATTGACATTTCAGTTTTTAACATCATCTACTGGCATTAATACAGAAAATTTAAATTTAGCTCATGCACTACCACACCCCCCTCCCCAGCTACTACCAAACACACATACACACATTCCTTCTCCTGTTCTCCCAATATAGGTTATCAGAGTTTTGGTTAAATAGGTATTCAGAGTTTACATTGGGATGTCTGTATTGTTAACAGTCGAACCACAGAGTATACGACTGTTTTCTTGTATAGCTTTTCAGTTTGCCAGACTTGGTGATTGCTTCATTGTTTTGTTTGCTTGGATTTCTATGTACATACCCCTAATCCAGTCCTAAATTCTTAGGTCAGTCGCCTTGCAGTCTGTTCAGACACATCAGTGAATCTGTGATTTCTCTTTGTTTTGGAGGCATGCCCTCTGGGTTCTCTTTCTGTGGTTTCTGTTAGAGTCTGAGGTTAAACTTTCAAGACTGACTTCCTCCCAGTTTCTATCACTTTTATCTTCTTGTTCTACTTTCTCATTTTTTTTTTTTCAGCTTTTTCAAACCTATTGAATTTTTCACTTCTGCTATTATATTTCTAGTTCCCAAGAGCCTTTCCTTGTTTTCTGAGTGTTCTTTTTCATATAGCAAACCGATCTTGTTTCATAAGATGTATTATCTTCTCATGTCTGTCTAATGATACTAGTATTTGAAGTTTTTTTTCTGCAGTCTTCATCATCTGACTCCTTCCCTTACTTTTTTTCTTTATTTTGGTCTCATGTTTGAGAAGCTTTCCACATATAATCTGATGATCTTGGCCTGTTGAAATTTAAGAGTAAGGCTCTGAAAAGCTGCCTGGGTGGTCCTCGTCCAGTAGGCTTCAATAGTGGATGATAAGGTTGACTTTTTCAGTGGGATCTTACAATGTCAGGTCTGTAAGTCTTTTTCCGGACAAGTCAGTTCCCCATGTAGAAATCCTTTACTCTCTTGCTGGGAGGTATAAGCCTAACTAGCTGCCTTCTGGGATCTAAGTAGGGGAAGGGGCCTGTGGGGAGGTGAGGGAGTGGCTTACCACTTAGTGTATAGACCATTGACTTAATTCTCTTGTTTTCAGAATAGCAATGCAGCCCTGTCCTATACAAACCACTCCAGGAAAATGGACCTTTCTTCTGCCAGGCTGGGGAAGGGGATCCATCTGGGGTCTCAATGGTGCTTCTGCCAACTGGCAAGCAATCTTCTGCTCTTGCCCTGTGCCCACCAGAGCGGTTCTTTGAAAATCTCCAATATTCTCTCCTATCTGCGGACTTAGGATTCCAGCTTTCTCCTCCTCCTTGGTTATCACTTGTCTGTAACCTGCTCTCCAGCCTTGAATTTTTGATGTCTTTTGTTTGCTGACCTCACTTCTCTCATTCTTTTTCTCCTTATGGGCTTATACTTTTTTTATTCTTCTGTAGTCATTGCCTGTGGGGTTTTGGGAGCTTTGATGCAATCATATATCATCTGCCATGTTTAGGGTTAAGTTTTGAGTGGTTCCTTAGGCTGTGGAAATGTGTCATCATTGTTAGTATTTACCAAGCACCTGGCATATAACAACAGCCCTGGCCAAAGAGCAGACTTACTAGGGAACTTGACTCCTGGTTGCCCCCCATCCTAATCACTGGTGGTAAAAATCCTCCCTTCTTCCCACCTGTGACGGCCCATCTTCCCTCATCAGAGCCTGCCTTTGCCCAGCAGACCAGCTTAAATAATCCCATATGGGGCAGGCTTTCTAGGCTGAAAGCATGTTTTGTTTCAGCAGAACAAAGATACTTATGAGCCTTTCTGCAAAGTTCCTGTTATCACCTCATCCAAAGAAGAACAGAAACTTATAGCAACTTCAAATAAGGTACGTTAGAGGCACCCTTGTGGCATTTCTTTTGCTACTAGAAATGATGGAGATTCTAGTGAATGAGTTTTGAAATGAAAACGTGTAATGGCCTATGCGAGACCTGAGAAGGGGTTAAGAATGGGAACCTGTGGCTCATCTTGTGTTCCTCCTGCCACTGGGGTCATGCAGTCTCCCTCTCGAGCTCTACCCCAGCCAGACGGCGATGCTGTCTGCCTCTGGCCTGGAGGCAGAGCTCAGCCCTATGGGAAACCAGTGGTTCATTGCACCTGTATTCCAACTAACTCTCTCCTTCCTTTTCTAAAACAACCCACAGCCCGCTGTGAAGTTGCTGTACAACAGAAGTAACAACAAATACTCATATACCAGGTAAGGCATCAGCCAGAAAAGACATCTGCACTTGCTAGGAAAGCCTCTGTTCACACCAGTCAGGCCCAGCTCCTCTCATTGCCTTCAGATGCCAGGTGCCCTCCTGTACCTCAAGATAGGTGGGCAGAAAGGCAGACAGGTAGATGCTAGATAGGAGATATAATTCACACATCCCATAAAATTCACCCTTTTGAAGTATATAATTTGGTTCTTTTTGGTATATTTACAGAGTTATGCAACTATGACTACTTAACCTAATTTTTGAACATTTTATCACCCTCAAAAGAAACCCTGTACCCCTTAGCACTCACTCCTCATTTCCCTCCCACTACCCGCCCCACCTAGGCGACTATTTTTCTTTCTGTCTCTGGATTTGCCTGCTCTGGACACTTCATAGAAATGGAATCATAGAATGTGTGGCCTTTTGTGACTGGCTTCTTTCACTTAGCATAATGTTTTCAGGGCGCATTCATGTTGTATGAATCAAAACGTCATCTTTTTTATGACAGAATAATATTCTACTGTACAGCTGGGCTACATTTTATTTATCCATTTACCAATTGATAGACAATTAAGGTTGTTTTCACTTTTTGGCCATTATAAATAATGCTACTATGAACATTCATATACACGGTTCTGTGTAGACATAAGCTTTCCTTTCTTTTGGATATATACCTAGGAATGGAACCTCTGGTTTGCATGTTAACTTAGGTTTGGTCATTTGAGAAACTGCCAAACGGTTTTCCAAGTGGTTGTGCCATTTTACATTCCCACCAGCAATATATGCGGGTTTCTAGAATGTCTTGTGGCCCTTGGAAACGTGACTCTAAATCAGGACTTGGGATATAAGGGGGTTTGATGAGGTTACTCAAGACCCAGAAACTGACCCAGAATAAAAAGTCTTCCTTGGGTAGCACATCCTGCCACTCCTGTGGCTCGGGGCTCTCCTCCACATCCCCCACCTGATGCCCTCTGCCTGCAGGCCCCATATTTTCAGCATCCCATCTCTGGCTATTGTAGAGCACAGCAGAGAGTACAGGCTGAGCGTTTAGAGCTGGCTTTTTTGAGGCCTGGCTCTGCCATTTATTAGTTTTTGGCCTTGGGCAATTACCTCATTTCTCTGATCCTCACTTTCGTTCTTTGAGCAATGGGGACTGTGGTACCTTCCTCGTGGGATTATTGTGAGGTTGAAATGGGATAGTGGGGATAACAGGCCCAGCATGTGGAAACAGTCAGCCACTGGTGGCAGTTATTACCAGCTTGTGGTCACCTTATCGAATATTGAATACTCTCTTGCAGCAATTCTGACGACAATATGTTGAAAAACATCGAACTCTTTGATAAGCTCTCTCTGCGCTTTAACGGAAGGGTCCTATTCATAAAGGATGTCATTGGGGACGAAATCTGCTGCTGGTCCTTTTATGGTCAGGGCCGAAAGATTGCTGAAGTCTGTTGTACCTCCATCGTCTATGCCACTGAGAAGAAACAGACCAAGGTAAGGGCTTCGAGTGGACGGTTCCGAGTGGGTAGTGTGACATTTGTACTTGTACAACTTCCTTTTCCACTTAAGCAAAAGAAACTTAAAGAGGGAAAGACTTTAAAAACGCTTTCGTTGATTTGTGACTGCTCATCATTAAAATATTATTTTTTGGTCCCTGGTAAGATCCAAATGTAGGTCTTGGAGAATCAGAATGGCATTTTCTTTCTGATGCTCAGCAAGTATAGACAGTTGCACTGCATCTAAGTTCCTTTGCCACAAATGTTGATTCAGACATATCCTTACACCCGTGTGTATCCCACTGTCTGCATTTTCTTCTGTCTTCAGTGATCTGACATGTCTGTGCAGTTCCTTGCCCTCCACACAACATCATGTCCACCAGCATGGCTCTGTCCCACCTTGATTATCAAAGGGAAAGTGCTACCTTCAAGATCTTGACCTTGGTTTTCTAGTTATGACCTACTACTTACGGCTGTCTGTCCTTCATTTACCCACTGACTTGGAGCAGCCCTCCACCCTCATGGTGCCCACTCAGCATTCCTTAGCTCCCAGCTTATTGGCTTCCTTTCAAGTACACGACTCCTTGACTCATCTGGACTCTGTGGATCCATTATGTCATCCTCTTCAAACCTGTAGAGTTGACCTCTCCCTTGATTTCTGTCGCTGTGCCATTCACAAAGCTAGATCAAACCGCAAAGTGCTGTTAAGAGATCTGGTCCACTGTTAATTGAACTTCATTCTCATTAGGTCTTCTGGTTGCCTGTCCTCCTTGGGCTATGCGACTTGGTTTTCTTTAAATTTTTTTTTTTTTTCTTTTTTACAATACAGTTTCATTTTCTTCTGAACCTATCTAAGGGACCTCTGCAGGGACATGCAGTTAGGTCTGCTGCAGGTAGATTTTCATGCCTCTAGTCACCCTCATACAAGTTTGTAGATCACCCACTCAGTAGCTTTAGGAGCACACAGTTCTGTGTGATTCTAGAGCTGGCCTCAGAAGCAAAAGCAAATGAGAGAAAATCAGACCACAAAGTAGAAACCAGAGTTGTTTTATTTTTTTTTAACTTAAACACAGTTTATTCATTAGTATTTACAATTTATCCTAAAAGATACATATTGTTTTAAGGTAGCCAAGAAGGGAAGAGCACTGAAGTTCTTTTGTATTTCAAAGACAGCAGAGGTATCAGAATCATCCCTCCTCTCACCACATTAGCAAAACACATGCCTCTTTACTCCCATGGACTTTTTTTTTTTTTTTTTTAGGGCTGTGAATTCCACCGATAACTAGATTCCCCATTTTGTCATAGTTGCTTTTTTTTTTTTTTTTAAATAAACATGGGTTGCCTCTGCCCTTGGACATTAAAAGGATAATCATATTAAGCTTTAAAATATTGACTTTACATTTTTAGAGCTTAACAGAGAGCAAAGGATTTAGAGACCATGTGATCTGATCCCAACCATTTATAGATAAGAGGACAGGTTCCAGATTGAGCCAGTGCTTGTATTTGTGAATCTGGTTAGTGACAGGGCCAGACAGGAGGCCAAGGCCCCTTTCCATGCCTCCTTTGCGCTGCCATCCCCAAGGGCTTCTTCCCTTCTCCAGGTGCAGCATGTGGCTTTACCTTTCCAAGGAGGTGGTTTTGGAACCGACTGCCCCTACAGAAATAAGTTCCTTCTTCATCTAGCCCAAACCTCTGGAAGCTGTGCTTGGAGCCAACATTCATGTTTTGTTGTTTCAAGTAACTTGTGTGGATGTTCTGGTTGGGTTTCTTGCATAATTGGTATCTTATCTTCTTCGTTACAACATTCCAAGTGCTTTTCTAATCTTTTTAATCATTTAACTGTTTTTTTCTGGTTAAGTTGAAAAGGGTATGGCTTGCCGAAATTAAAATGTAAGCAGAAGTTTAATACATGCATTGTCTATTTTGTTCTTAATTCTGACTCACTGAGGACTGAGTGATAATTAAGCACAGAATCTTGCCCTTTAATTGGTCTTTTTTTTCTGTTGTTCAGATTGTCTTATTTCTAATGATCTGTCTTCAAGTTCACCGATTCTCCTTTGTCTTCCCCATTCTGTTATTGAGCCTTTCCAGTGAGTAGGTTTTTTCTGTTTTGGTTATTGTTTTTCAGTTCTAAAATTTTCATTTTGTTCTTTATCTCCCTCCTGAAACTTCCTATGTTTGCATTTGATTTATGAGCATTCACCCTTGTTGGAACATTTTTATAATAGCTGCTTCCAGGTCTTTGTAAGATAATTCCAATATCTCATGTCATCTTGGCTTTGGCATCTATTGATTATCTCAGGAGTTGAGATTTTTCTGGTGCCTTATATGCTGAGAAATTTTGAATTGTACCCTGGACATTTTTTAATGTTACAGTACTTTAGGTCTTGTTTAAATCCTAAGGAGAACATTGATATTTTTGTTTAGCACACAATCACCCCAGCTAGGTTCATGCCACAAGTTCCAACCAGCCTTCTGTGGGTTGTAGTTCCAGTGACAGTTGAGTTTTCAAAGTCTTCAGATGTGGGCCACGCTATGGGCCATTCTGTGTCCTGGGCATGAGTCTGTCCCATTGCTCAGTTCTTAAAGTCTCTACATGCTGTTGACGGTCAGGTCGGCAGAGGAGGCTAAGCCTGGAGTTCACGTACAACCTTAAGAAGCTGCTTTCCCGAGCTCCCCTCCTTCACAATCTCCTTGGTACTTTCTACTTCCTTGGTGTTCTCCCTTTTTCAGTCATCTGGCCAGAAATCTGGGGCTTTAGTTACCCTGCTCTGCCACACACTTCCTGTGACTTTGCTTGTATCTGGAGCCAAGCAGCATGAAGACAGAGAAAAACAGCAGCAGGGATTCGCCAACCCCTCCGAGACCACAGCCCTTCCAATAGGAAAGGAAGAATCCCTCGGTGGCTCCCGCAGTCTCTGGTCACTGCCACGAGATTGCTTGGGGGCTGGGGTGCAAGAAAACGGAGAAAAGAAGAAAGGAAAACGGGGAACTTGCCCCCACTCTCTAGGTGTTGGAGACCTTGGTGGCTCCTTTGACCAGAAACCTCCTCCTGGACCTTTCTCTGTCCTGGTATCCGTTTCAGGTTGGTGGGCTACATTGAGCTCAGGCCGGGGGAAACTGACAGGGAAAAACAGTAAACGCACTGTTTGATATTACTGCAAACTCTGGTCTTTCCCCGCAGTCTGCCAGTATTAATGTCACAGAGTCCTTAGGTAGCTGCTGTGTACACACTCTCCTGGTTTTGTAGCCTCATGTGAAAGACGGGATACAGTGTGCTCACTCCATTTCTCCCAAAACTGGAACCTCAGAATCTTGCCCTCAAAAGCAGAGTCTCTACTCTGTGAGTCAAGTGCCTGGGACCCACTTGTGTGGCACCCCTCTTTATGGCGCCTCAGCTCCAAAGGGGTACACGCCAACACAGCAATTTACCGAGAAAGAGGGATCGTGTCCATTTAATGAGGGTCCCCAGCTGGTCCTTCAGAAAGAATGCCACTTTGTATACTGCTCTGAGGTGTGGAATACCTCATGTGCAAGGGCCTAGGCAAGCTCTGTTAGTAGCAACGTATTGGAAATGTCCAACAGCGTGAGCTAGTTAGTTCAATGCATGGTCCCGTTCTTTAACTCTCTGATGTGGAATGATCTCCAAGTTAGGGAAAAGCAAAAGGTATAGAAGAGTCTATGTAGTGGGCCACCTTTTGTGTCTGTTAATGTGTGTGAATATTACGTTATATACATATATATATGCACACAGGGCCCTTTGGGGCAGGTAAAGTGAGCAGCATTGTCTTTAGGGAGGGAAACTAGAGGGCAGAGCAGAGAGACCTATTTCACCGTCTCCCTTTTGTCTCGTGACTTTAGCGCTCTGTGTTGCTGATTGAAAATAACTACTTCGAAAATAATAATGAGGGTCTTAAATGGAATCCCAGGGGCCTGATTTAGCCCAGTGGAAGTAATGGGTGGCAGCAGAGTTGGTGGAGGGGGAGGTCTGATGCTAACTCGCCTGCTCTGTATTTTGTGGGGATACAGGTGGAATTCCCTGAAGCCCGAATTTATGAGGAGACCCTGAATATTTTGCTGTATGAGGCCCAGGATGGTCGAGGACCTGACAATGCACTTCTGGAGGCCACAGGCGGGGCTGCCGGGCGCTCCCACCATCTGGACGAAGATGAGGAGCGAGAGCGGGAACGGATTGAGCGCGTGAGGCGGATCCACGTCAAGCGGCCTGACGACCGTGCCCACCTCCACCAGTGAGCAGGCAAGCAGACCCAAGCCTTCCTCCCGCCCTCCTCCCTGCTCTACACTCAGATCCTATGCAGTCTTCTGGGCACCTTCCACTTCCCCTGGAGTCTGGAGATGCTTTTGTAATAAGCCAGATGATTATTTTGATATTTCTCGACAAGGTGAATTGATTTCTACCCAGGTGAATGCACCCCTGTTGTTGACAAGCTGTGCCCAAGGGCTCTACTTTCCATGAGGATCTGAGAAGCCTTGATGCCGGGCTTGCTGGGTTCTTGAAGGAAAAGTATGAATGGGAATGATGTGTACATGAGAACTTTTGTTTGCAGTATTTATTTTTGTGGATGTTGACTACCTGTTTGAGCTTCTTGGGTGGCATTCCCTTTGGGGTTCAGTTTGACAGCTCTGAGAGGGATCCCACAGCTGGTGGCCACCAAAGTGTCTTTGAGCTCCCTGTTTCATAACACCAGCCAAGCATGCTGGCTCTGGTTCCTGGGCACTAGACTGGGCAGTTTCCAGGCATGGCTTTGCTAGAAGTCCATTCTGCAGCAGGATTTCGCACTTAGAGCTTACTGATAAATAACAGTATAGATTTAATAGATGGGACCTGGTGTGCTTTGTACCTCTAAATTGTTCCTCATGTAGCTCTGGATACCTAGTTGTGTTTAGGGGGCAAGCTGTAGCCACCTCAGCCGGTCTGTGGTCTGGTGTTTGTTGAGTCCCCACATGCCTGGCTAAGGGCAGAACTGGCCTCGGTAGTGAGTGCTCAGCTCTGTTCCTGGCTCCTTCCCTGACTCCTGCTCCTTTCAGTTGCCCCCTTTTTGACCCACTCCATCCCAGGAAGGCCTTCTGGACTGGTCACAGGCGTAACTCCCAGACTGGACTCCCGGCAGGATCCATTCCTTCCCCCTCGGCCTCCTTCCCTGTTAAGCTGGGCTTACTCCTGCAAGGAGATGCCCTGCCCTTTGCTTTGAAATTCAGCGTGGCCCCAGATGTCCTCCCAGCCTGGCATCCAGGCTGGACCTCCACTCACACCAGCATTCTCAAAGCGGCTTTCCTACGCAAAGCACAGCCATCACCTGGAGATCCCCTTGGTGTCTTCGCCTGATTGTAACAGTGTGGAGTGGTCGTCAGTGATCAGTGAGAGGATGTGCAGATCCTTTTGGACCAAGTTAGTGGCCATGTTTATGTTCAAGGGACGTGTGTGACTGTTGATGGGGATGTATGCATGTGGGGCAGTGGGGCCTGGCGCTCATGTGGGACGGACGTTCTCAGTTACCTACCTCTCGGTCTCCTCTGCGCCTGGTCAAGGGACAGAAATGAGTTGTGACTAGACTAGGTAGAGTGGTTACAAGGTGATGTGAATGTAAGGGAATGGATGGGTTTTGTCTGCTTTTCAAGGGAAATGTTACAGTTTTATACCAAAGGTATTAACAGGTGCAGCTTCTGACACAAAGTATTCCGAAAAACAGTTTATATTTTGAAATGGTTTTTACAGCTTCAACTTTGTACGTACTGCCCTAGTTGCGACAGTTGTATGTCTTCATTTTTGTAACCAGCAGCAAAGCCTATGGTAAATCTTTAAAACAATCATGACTGAACCTAAAAAGTATTGGGTAGATGCTTTTTAAATTGCTGTGTGGGAAACTTTCATATTAGGCCATTTGGATTTTATTAAGTGCTGAGGAAAGAAGGAGGCTTGAAAAATGTTTCTTAAATATTTTATACTGTTTGAGTTTTAAACTCCAACCCTGCCATTTGGGTTGAACTTTTTTAGGAAGTTAAAGTGAATGTCGGTTCTGATGTTTTCTGTAGGAATGGAAAAGCCATCATATAAATTCTTTTTTCCCCTCATGTTTACGTGAAGAATATATTTGTGGAAGAATTTGACTTGTTTGGACTTCTACACTTTCTGACCTAATGTTTTTGGCAGTCTCTCATTTTTCCTTTAACTTTGTACTTGTAGCTTTGAGTCTTTGCTTCTCTGGGACGTGAACAGGGCCATAAAACATTCCATGGTTAATGACACTGCTAGCTACATATAGCCATGAACTGACAGAAAGCATTGGCTGGTCCAGCTCTGTTATCAAATACATTCTACAAGGAACTGATTTTCCTTATGCTAGCACTAAAGGCAAGCAAAAGTCAACATGTATACTTAAGAACCATCCAAGTAAAACGGTGGCGTAAGATTTGCTAAAGAGCAAAGTTTTACATTGTAATAGCTTCCGGTTTTAAAAAGTGGAACAACTTTTCAAATAAGCCATGTGCCCAAGACAATTCCTGGCATAGCCTCTTCAGTTGCCCTCTTGCAGTGGCTTAGCAGGTTGGTCGCTGTGCAGATACCCAGCCCTCTGTTCAGGGGTATTTGTACCTTACAGCAGTTATTCAGGACCCAAGTGTGAACCAGCCCTGGCCCTTCGAATATCTGCTCTTTATACATCTGTGTGTCACTAACCGTTGTTTCTTTGTGCTGTGGGGGAAAAATGCTATAAGCTTTAGAAGTATGTTGTACACGCATTTGTGGACATGTGTAAAATAAAAGTTATGTAATGCTTCTACTTAAATCTGTTTTCTGGGTCTTTTCAGAAACACTCAGCACAGTCAAGCCACTGAACTGACGTGCAGTTTTCAGCAAAGAGAACAAGCAGAGATAGTACCTTCAACTTTATCACGTTAAAGTTGCACACAGTGGAAAAGATGAGTCATTTATCTGTAGTGCTTGAATTTAAACACTGAAAGGAAATCTTGGGCAGAAATGCTGCTGAACTTCTGAAAAAACAGAATGAAGCAGTTGCTGTTGCCACTTATTTACTATTGGGGAGGTAGGGTGGGAAAGAGATATGATTCACCGGAACCTAAAGAGCCTTTCAGAAATGTTAAGGAATTGGGCACATTTCTAAGTTCCATTTATTTAAAGCAAAATTCAAATTTTGCAGCTTTATGAAATTTCATTTACTTTCAGACCATATATAATACTTCATTGTGCCTCAGGCAGCTTGACAAAGGTAGAGAATCTGTTGCCTACCTTATGACAGGTTAAAGTGCCCATCAAGTGTAGGTCCTTTGGGGAGCTTTAAAACCACCCTGTTGGGTGACTTGAGATTGGCTCCCTGAAGAGGACATTTTAATTAGGTGCCACAGGGCACCAGAGAAGCTGGGGTTGCTCTCTGGCATAAGATGCCACTCCGTTTCTTCAGATGTAGTGATCCTTTTCCTAGGGCTGCTGTAACCTTTCCTTGAAGGTGTAGCTAACTGGATGAAATTCCCGCTTCCTGGGTACTTTCTTCAGCAGACGTCATCTTCTGTCAGGATTTCATGTGGACGGACACCTGCGAGAGAGTCCACGTTTAGGTTTAGAAGCCTCTTACCTCACTTAGAAGGAAGCAGTTAACACCTCAGCTGTCAGCATCATCCAGATAGGTGTGGACAAGCTTCGAGAGGCCAGTCCCACCTCCCGTGAGAGAAATCACATTTAGAGTTGGGCTCACTGAGGCCTGTTAGCATCTTCAGTCTGAGCCAGCCAGGAAGGCAGGCTATGTGACTCCAACAGAGAGATACTCAGTCTTCGGGGTGGAAGTTCGAAGAGCATGTAAACCGAAAAATCGCCTCATGTTTTACATTAAAAATCATGCTTAAATATTTTAACTCGTCCCTGAAGGAGTTATTGTGTTTAGAGGCAAATATTTTATAAAAGACACTTTCTGTACTGCTTGCATCCACAAAACAATATAGTTAAATGTATGTAAACTTAAATGCATAGGAGATACTATCCATGTTGATAGATCATTTCTAATTAGTTTCTATCAAGTAGTACTTGGTATATATACAAAACACATTTTAAAGATTCAGCCCTTCAGCTTTTAATGTCATTATCTGGCAAAATTGGATCAAAATAAGCTCTGTGTACTACTTACCAGTAAGGGGCTGGTGGGATCAGCAGGGAGGGCAAAGCACTAAGACAGCTGTGGTCCCCAACCCTCTGCTAATCAGACCTTGGGTGGCTTACATCCCAGAGCCCAGGCCACACCTCAGCCAATTACATCCCAGTGTCTGAGAGTGAAATACAAACACTGGAATTGTTTGAAGCTCACCAGGAGATTCCAGTGCGGAGTGTGAGAACTGCTGTGATGAAGCGTGAGGGCTTTTGCCATCCAGTGAAAAGTTGGGCTCCATCATTTAAAACTAAGAAGGACTTAATATCAGCTTCTGGTTCACTGACTACTCAATGTGGCAAGTAAACCGGCTTTTTCCCCTTTTCATTCAATTTTTAATCTATACCTCTAGTATCAATTCCTTCCTCATTTTCAGATGTAGAATCAGTAATAGATGAACTAGCTTATGATTCCAGTCACTCTATTGAAGGACTGAAATTAGTAGAATTTTAAGCTTTATTCTCGTCTAAAACTGCTTACCTCCCTCCCCAAACACAGGCACTCACCACTGTTAACTGTCCATCTTTATCTTTATAGATTTGTTCTTCTGGTCCCGTGTTGAAAACTATTGTGCCTTCTTTTCCAGGACTAATATAAAACTGTAAACTTAAAATAGACAAAACAATGAATTACTGACTTTTTTTTTCCCCCTCAGCCTTTGGTCTGCAAAAGAAATTTACTTAGGAAGTTTTACTAGTTTCAAGATAAAATTCCTCTTTTATCATAGTTTTCTTGCATGTTTGAGTAATCAAAAGAAGAAAGACATTTCCACACTGGGAACCTTACCATGTTTGTATAGTTATTCTCAAACCAGTTGAGAATTCAGTTCTTCAAGGGGCCATTTGAGGTCTGAATAGCCATTTATGTATAAATCTGCATGCTGCAGCTCTCATTGTGGGCGAGGTCTTTCCTCCGAGGTACAGTGAACAAACACTACTTTCCAAGCCACCTAACTCTCCCTAGTCCGTGTAAGAAGTTGCTCATCAGGTTATAAAGATTGGAGCCTACTTTCAGGGGCCCTGGGAGCACAGTGCTGAGGTGCTCTGCCTGATTCCATCTGAGAACCAAGCATGGCCTTAGGAAATCTTGCACTGTCCCTGATCAGCTAGCTATGTGACATTCGATGCCCTGGTTAACCACCTTATGCCTGTGAAATGGAAAAGGTGGTATTTCAGAGTTGTTGAGAGAATTGAATAAGTACTCTATGTGCCAGGTATTTTTATGTCCTAGAGAAATTTTAGCACTTTTCCCTAATCTGTAAGCAGCCTGCAAAGCCAGGACCCACTGTGCTCAATCAACTGTCCCAAAAAAAACAGACTTCAACAGTAGCAAAGAGTGGATGTCACCTGCTCTGACCCAGGGGTCCACCCTTTACTTTGTGACAGATTCCTTCAGGAACATAAGCACCTCTTTTGAATGCTGGGTGGTAAGACCACTGTTCTTAGGTCGGTGAGTGATCACTGACTTCATTTATCTGGAGCCCCAAACATAGCGGGTGGGGAAGTTCCTTATCAGAGAAGGCAAGGGTACCCCGCTAGAGGCTTCTTCCCCACCTGCTGGGAGGCCGAAGGCATGGGTGAAACGATTAACATTCACGTCTTTCTTGATCCATTAATATACATTCCTGAGCTGAGGATAAAGCCACCTACCTTCCTTGGACAACATTTACAATGTTCTCCTTCTTAACCAACATGACGAGTTTAGTGACCGTTTCAAATACATGATCACACTGTAGGACGGCATCCCCCTGAGGTGGAGAGGAGAAGACACGGCCATTTCAATAGCAGCGGTTTAAAGAAAAATACTCTCCCAGACTGAGGTTTCACGGTAGTCAACATTTTGGCAGTGTGCCGTTTCCCTCTGTTAGCAGAGACTCATGGCCATCAATTACCTTGTGCCTGTTGGCTTCTGGCGAAACATGAATGACTAGGAGTCCATCACTCAGATTGCTAGTAGAGATACCTTAAGACAGATCCAAAGTTAGGAGCTAGGAACTGGACACCTTGACATTGATACAGAAAAAAAGAAGACGGGTTCCCCAACCTCGCACTTTTTCCCTCCCTAGCCGGACCAGTGGGACGAAGGGTCTACTCAGCATGATACCAGGCTGTAAAGGTTGTGCACTAAATACAAAACAGGTTGTTGTAGAAGGTAACTACTCTCCAGCCTGGATATCTGAGTGAAGGGGATACCACTGATACTTATTTCAGAATAAGGGGCCTGGACACTGATGCCTTCCAACCTAGGGCTTCTTCATTATAGGGGTGCCCCAGAGCTAAATCATTCCAGGGAATTGCCTTGAGATTGCCAGCTTCTTACCTTTGAGTGTTGAGTACTCTATTTTCTGCTTGATTTTGGCAAGCTCCACCACGTAAGCTGCTTTTTGAGTAAGAATGAGTTGCCGCTGTCGCGCCTTGAAGCCTTTCCTGTCATATTTAATGACCGGGACACCATACTGCAAGGAGGTTACCATCACTATGAGGGGAAGTTTACGTCACGGGGGGCAGGGGGCAGAGTACCGAGCTCCTGGTTACTCAGACTCCAGCAAAGTTAGTCCAAGCACGCAAACGGAGAGAGGCTCAGCCAGGTTTTGCATAAACGTGTTTTCTACCCTGGCTCTCTGGCAGGTAGATTTTGATTCCTAGCTCAGCCTATGGCATTGCCTTCCCGAGGAAGTCGAAGCTACGGCCACCTGCCTCACAGGTCCGCTCTGAGAAGTCAACAGAAATGACCTCTCTTTAACACTGTGGGCATTAAAGCCCTCATAGCCAGAGGATAATTTAGTCCAGCCCCACAGGTTTCTGACCAAAAGTGACAGAGCAGCCACGAGAGCCATTGACAGCTTACATAACCTGCCCAGGATTGTATAGCTACTAAGTCATGAAGGCCACGTTAGCGCCCGGGCACTTCGCTGTACTGCTTACTAATGGGATGTTTAATGCTTAACGTCATGGCTGTGTTTAACTCAGTTTCATAGAAAACCAAGCACAGTTCTTGGCGTGATATATGAGGACCATGAGAACAACAACAGGTATCTAACAGCCACACGATCTCCATAATCTTAGTTAATAGCTGTAGCATCACAGCTGAGAGCCTGGCCCACTCACACGCACCCTTGCATACACAGTGCTTCCAGACCCACTCCATGTAGAAAACAAATCCCAGTCTTGGTCTCTACGGGAATCCTGTTGGAGGACCCGCCTTCCTTACCTGGATTTTCTCATCGCTAATGAGTTGGAGCACTTTGGGATTAATTTCTCCTTCATCTACGGAGGGAACCAGAGCACAGTGAGTCATCACTCCCACCCTGTGCAAAAGCCCCTGGCATCTGCTGGCTTTATGTCCCTCTCTGACCAAGACCTCAACTGGGGTGTAGCTGTCAGGAAATGCTACAGAGTCAAACATCTTCCTTTGACTTTACAACAGGAAGAGAAAATACAAGGAAAAATGTACTTACCTATCCGACTGTTGGCAAAGGGTTTATTTAAACTTTCTGCATAGCCTTCTTTCTTTCCCCTGAATAGTGCACTGGTAACCACCTTCTGCTGCATCTGGTAACATAATCGAGAGTACAAAAATGATGGCCACAGGGCTCTTTGGGACAGGGGAGCTTTACGATCCATGATGTTGCTTACTTTCCTAGATAAGCTGTAGGAGCCTTGTCATACTTCCTCCTAGAAATCAGAACACATTTCTGGCTTTGGCCAGATGCCCTAAGTCGCACTGGTAGAGATTGGAGTTGACACTTATGCTTTTGTTTAACTTGCTCTGGCTTCTTGGAATTGAAATTTTCAGAATTTCAGAAAACAATTATTTTCTTCTAGGTCAGGGATGGCAAACTATAGCCCACGGGCCAAATCCAGCCTCCTGCCGGGTTTTGTAAGTTGCGCTGGAGCACAACCATGCCATTCATTTACATGTCGGCCCTGGCTGCTTTTGGGCTACAAGGACAGCTGAGTAATTGCAACAGAGGTCATATGGCTTGCAAAGCCTCAAATATTCACTCTGGCCTTTTCTGGAAAAAGTCTGCTGACCTGCAGTTAAGCATAAACAAAACCAGACCTCCAGCAGAAGGGTCTGGCATTTACAGTGCAGCGGCCACCTGGATGGTGTTCCCATGGCCACAATGCAAGTGACGCTGATTATAACAGTTGCCACTGAACGAGGGCTCTGTGCTAAGTGGTCCACACGTGTAATTGTCAGCATGTGTACGAGGCATGGGCCTAGCCTGACCCTTGGCTCACAGGTGAAGAGGCGGGTGAGGACCGCTAACTCCAACAGTCCAGCTGTAGGACCAGCTCTTCCACCAACCTGCCACCGCACACACACCACGTCCCTACCAGTGCTTTCCTCTCGGCTGTGAGCCCACGGCAGTACTTCCGGACCAGGTTTCTTGTGCACATTTTCCTGAGCAGATCCGACGCCTGTGTGGAGAACAAACACACTTTTCCACCTGCCTCAGTCACACCCTGTCTTGGGCTGTGGCCACCCAAAGAGAGCTGAATTCAGTTTGATTTACGGTGTTTATATTTTATTGTCAAAGAGAGCAGATCTTCCAATCTCGCACTAACTTTTCACTACCGCCAAGCTAGAGGTTCTTAAATTCGAATGTATTTGAGGCACTGGAGGAGCTGGCTAAAATGAGATTCCTGGAGATGCCTACTTAGTGGGTCCAGGAATCTTACTGTAGCCCCTACTCTGCGCTCCAGACACAGAGGGTCTTCAGGTCATCTTTAGAGAAACACTATCATAGGTGACAGTCACCTAACCTATCTAGAAGGCTATCTCAAGGAGAGACACCATCTAAAAGTGTTCTGTGTAAACAGACTTCCAGTGGCTTTGTACTTCTAGTAAGGATATTACGAATTCTGAAGAGTTAAGTTTCTTGTGCAACAACCTTGCAAGGAAGTGTTTTGCTAAGGCAGCCCTTTCGAGCAAAAGCAGCAGTACAAAGAAATAACAAAAGTTAAGTTCCATCAGTGCTCTAGTCACTTGCAACATGAGTCCCAGTGGAGTCCTCACGTTTTCCAGGATTCCAGGTGGCTTCAGCCAGCTCTCATCCAAGACATTCTTTGGAACGTGATAACGGAGATTCAGGATGTAATTTTTCCGCACAAACACGATAAATTCCTCATTGTCAGGACAAAGAGGCTTGTCTCGATTGATGAATCCCTTTATGAACCTAAACAGGAAGTAGTTTGGTTAGTTTTCTGGCCTGTGTTTTCACTGAGACTTGCGTTCTCTCTCCATTCACTTGATTCAGAGGCCGCCAAATGGTGGAGATTATTTAGATGATAAGGTTCGCCAGAGCCAGAAATGGAGCCCACAGGCCAAATCTACCCCAAAGATAGGCTCTGTTTCACCCACACTGTTTTTTTGTTTTCTGTTTTGTTTTCAGTAGCTTTGAATTAGTTGCCAACAACAGAAAAAAAAAAAAGAAAAAAAAAAAAGCCCGGGGGGTATTACATGAAACCCAGATTCCCAGCTTTCCTTGAAAATTCAAAAGATCAGGCAGCACTTGTCCGGCATTTCTCCATGGCAGTGTGTGGGCGAGGTGGGAAGAGCTTTCCAGCTTGCTGCAGTCCTCTCCATACCTTGTGGTCTTATAAGACTCATAAGACTCACTTTACCTGCCTGGCATCAGAAGGCTTTTGACTTTGTGACTTTTGGACTAAGAGTTACTATAAACGTACTGTTGTGATCACCACGAAATTAGGGAGCTCAGAGGAAAGAGATGGAACTGGATTCCTAAGGGTTGACATCCCGAAAGGAAGATTACCTGACGGTAATCCAAAAAACCAAGTCCATGACCACACCCTGCCACACACCTGCACTGACTGGCCGCTCCCTCCTGTACCTGAGAACTTACTTCCTTATAATCTGCACAGCCCATTTCCTCCTTTTGACTTCTTTCCGAGCCAGGGCTCCACGCCAGCGGGTTTCAAGTTCGATGGCTGAAAGAGTTCACTGCTGGCATTAGGAGGTGAGCACAATCACATTTAAATACAAGAGGCTTGTTTAGAATTGGTCATCCACGCCACAAACATCTACACGTCTGCCACAGCACTCTGCTAGCCCCAGAGACGGAAAGTCAAATGAACGACATCGGTTCTTACCGGGAAGGTACTCAGACGGGCACCAAACTAGGGAGACAGAGGAACGCAGCGGGCGCAATGGGAAGTTTTAAGGGAAGCCCCAAAATTATGCGAGGGGACCAAGGTTTCCCAAGGTCCTTTTCAGATACGAGAGTGGCACTTGCGAATTGTACACATTTGTCTTACCGCTGTGCTCGGTTTGTCTCACCATGTTTACTTTAGTTATCTACATTTAAAAACTGGGAGAAGCCAATTGGGACATGAAAATTAGATTTCTGGCTTGTCTCCCAGTTTTTAAAGGCTTTTCATATTTCTCTGTTATTCAGATTTTTAAATGCTTTTTATTCCTCATAACAGCATTGTTACAAAAACCACCAACCAACTGGAAACAACCCAAATTCCCAACAACAAAACGGCTAAATTGTGGTATATTTATATTGTACAGGGATCAGCAATATTTATGTAGTACGACCCTCGGGCTGGCCACCTGTTTTGGTAAAGTTTAATTACAACATTACTGTGCCCGCTCGTTTATGTATTTGCCTAAAGCTACAGTCATTCTATAACTGAAGAATGACATAGGAGCCACAGGTCTAAAATATTTATAACTGGCCCTTTAAGAAAGTTTGCTGACCTCTGATAATAGTGGAATACTATGAAGCTATGAAAATGAATAACTAAATCTGCACACATTTATTGGTTGAATTTCTTTTCTATTTTTCAATTAGAATTGACACGCAGTATTTTAATGAGTTTCAGGCATACAGCGTAGTGGTTAGACATTTATGCTACTGGTTGAATTTTGAAAACAATTTAGAGTGTAAAAATGTTGCAAAAAATACACAGTATAAGTTCAAAACATGCCAGCCTATAACCATAGTTTTGAGTGATCCAGAAACGGTAAAACAATTAAAAGGGGGATTCTAAATGCAAAATTCAGAAGAGTAGTGTGTGCGTTGGGGGCTGGGAGGCTGAGAAGTGACTGAGGAGGAACAGAGGGAAGAAATTCCAAGGGTACTTGTGGTATTGGTAACCTTTTTAAGAAATTATTCTTTAATCACACATATGTTATGGAGCAAATAAAACATGTCCATGGAACATATATAGGCCACACTATATAATAATCACTGGTCAATAGAGTAAAAATGAGAAGAGGCCTCAACACTGAACCTCGAGGCCACCCTACACCAAGGTTTTAGGTCGGGCAGGGGTAGAGGCTGTGCAGAGGAGCCTGTGCCTGTAGGAGGTGGGCAGATGAGAGGGAAACTGGGGTTCTGGCCCATTACAAACTGGAAAGTAATTCTTACCTGCTTGTCTTTTTTTCACATAGGCTCTCCTTTCTAGGCAGGCTTTGTATGTGGCTTGAATTCTTGCAACTTAAAATAAAACAAAAGTGTGGTGAAATGGTTTTCATTTGTTTGTCTTGGTAGTCGTGACCTTCAGAGGGGATGTCAGAAGTGGCCCTCGGGGCGTGCAATGTGGAGGGACAGAGGAAGCCGGTGCAGCAGTGCCGAAATGAGAGTGGGCAGGTTATATCGAGCCTGGCTGCCAGATGCTGTCTATGAACTGTAGCTTCCTTTCTTCCTCTTGCCTTCCCCAGGGTAAGGAACAGAGCCACCATCTAGAGGGCCTGCTGGGCCCCCACGTTAGGCATTATATTTCATCCTTACACTCCACCTTGCAAGATAGGTGTCAGCACATTTTAGTAATGAGCGTGCAAGGCAATGCAGCTGTCCTGATGCCAGGGCTACGGGACCGCACACGCTCCCCCTGTAGCTTCTCCTTTTTCCATACACCTCCTCCTCTTAGTGAGTGGGGTCCCACCATAGGCCAAGCTCCTTGAGGGTCCCACAGACCAGTAATGTCACATTCCTCAGGGAGCTGGTTAGAAATGCTGACTCAGGCCCCCCACAACCAGCACTTGCCCATTAACCAGATCCCGATGACTGGTGCCCACTGCTAAAGGAGTCGAAAAATGAAACCATTCAGCATAGTGGTCAGGAGTGCAGGCCTTGAAGCCAGAGAGACCCACATTCAAATCCCAGCTCTGCCGCTTTCTACCTGTGTGGCCTCCAGCAAATTACCAACATCTCTGGGCCCCAGTTTCCCTGCATGTGAAGTGGAGATAATTCACTCCAAAGGTTTGTTCTGAAGCTGCGATGAGATCAGGAGTACAAAGGGCTTAGTATGCACTGGCACACAGCAGACAGATTACTCGAGCAGCATCCTTCTCGACAGACAAGTTTAGATTTCAGCAGAGAAGCCTCTCTCCCCTAGTAGATTTTTTTATTGTATCCCCAGCCCTACTCCCCACCACCCAAATCTAACTTTTCTCATTTACCATTCACAACAAACACCCTGGCTGTAGGCTATGAAGCTACACCTTCCAACATCAGATATTTATACAAACGTTTTTAAAACCTCCATGTGAGGGGGTGGACTCCTGTGGGCTTAGGTCCTAGTGTGGCACAACAGAATTGGATCCAAATGAAAACCAGGGCAACACTACAGTGTTTACGTTTCCATGTGCATCCACGATGACCTCCAAACACTCATTAAGGCATAAATTCACGCGTATCCTATCACATTCCCATATCTCGTTCCTGATTTCGAAAGCCAGTGCTTCTAACATTATTCCAAACGCCATGTTTGAGACATATCCCAAGCTAAGCTGGTTTAGTTTACATTCTATTGAAATCAGGGCAGGAAAAAAAACAAAACAAAACATACCTAACTGATGTTTACTAAATTCAAAGGCATCTTCAGTAGCAAACAGAGTTCTGGGGAAACGAATGAATATTTTGGTTCTAGAAGTGAAAAGAAACAGCGTTTTAATGATAAATTGGTCAGTTACCATCTGTAGGTTAAATAATGTTCACCCCAAATTCACGTCTACTCAGAACTTTAGAATGTGATTTTATTTGGAAATATTTTATTTGGAAATAGGGTCTTTGCAGATACAGTCAAGGTAAGGATTGGGAAGAGATCATTAGGGTGGACCTGAATCCACGAGTGTCCTTAGAAGAGACAAGAAGAACACAGACACACAGGGAAGAAGACGTGAAGATGGAGGCAGAGATCGGAGTGATGTGGCCACAAGCCAAGGTGTGTCAGGAGCCACTGGAAGCTGCAATAGGTAAGGATCCTCCCATAGAGCCTTCAGAGGAAACATGGCCCTTCCAACATGTTGAGTTTGAACTTCAAGCCTCCAGAACTATCCAGAGAATAAATTCCTGTTGGTTTATGCCAGCCAGTTTGTGGTAATTTGTTAGACAGCCCTAGAAAATAAATACATCATCCTAACCAGAAATTATCTTCCTGGGCTTTAAAAAGTGATGACAAAGAATATGAGTAACTTTAAAAGACAATCCCATCAACTAGCAGAACTAAGTTATACATACTGATCTGTATTTCCTGCCCCACCCACCCTTTGAGGGAAACTGCCCAGGACAGCCACTGGGTGGGTAGGTGGGTGGGTGGGGAACAGCACCGTCACACACCACGTGATTCTACTTCCTCATGACAAGTTATGGAATGGGGATCGATCCCACTCCCTCACCTCCATGGCCTGCCTCCCTCAGGATGTTCTAAGCTGGATTTCCCTCAGGGATCTGGTTTAGGAAAGTAACTGCTTCTTGGAGAAGGGCCCAGAATAGAAGCACAGGGATGGAGAGGGGCCAGAGTGGCCACAGCCAGCCATGTACTAACGGCAGGGAGAGATTTCCTTGAAGCTGGAATCTCCGAGTCCTAGTAATGTAATGGTCCCTCTTCATGTCTGGGCACCGTTCCTTGCAACCAAATGAACCCTGACCAAGATGACTGACAGACGAAAATTTTCCTGGTTCACCCTGATGAGTTTCGCCTCAAAACTTTCAATGTGTTTGAAGGCTGTTCATTACAACTCATAGCAATGAGACTCAGAGTTCTAGAACAGCGTTTCCCAGGATGGAAGCAGATTTTTCACATCATGTAAGTCCTAATATCTCCTAGAGGTCCTGCATACATTTGAACAACGGAAGACTCTAGGCACACAGGTTAGGGGAGCCACCCTAGTTCCCTCATTTTTCAAGCCAAGAGGCTCATTCTAGCCCCCCACTCCCTACCCCCATCAGGTTTAGAACACAAGGCTCTTTTATAACGTAACCTCCAACAGGCAGTAATATTGCCCTTCTAACCATTTAGAGTTTGTGATATTGTGATTCATAATAAGAAATGTATATCTGGCCTTTGTTCCATTCCAGTGGCACAGCTCACAAAACCCTTGTAATTTCCTAAGTGACTAGAACAATAGCGGCAACTCTGGTTATACTATTCCTGAAATAGCTTCAAAGTGATAAAGGTGAAATGGGTGTCCTATTATTCATAACAAACTCCTTTTGACCACACCACACTTGAGTTTATGTTAATGAGGCGATGTCTGGAAAGCCCATAAATAACCGAAGGATGGAAGCTGGTTGCCAGGGGAACCAATCTTGAGATTAGAGGGTTGGAGCTTTTTTTTTTTTTTCCAGGGAGGGGAGAGGGGCTGGACATTGAATTACTCACCAGTGGTCATGCCCATGTAATAAAGCCTCTATAAAAACCCAAACAGACATGACTTGGAGAGCTTCTAGGTCCACCTGGAGAGGGCGTGGAAGCTCCACACCCCTTCCCATATGCCTCGCCCTATGCATCTCTTCCATCAGGCTGTTCCTGAATTATACCCTTTTATAATAAATCGGTGATCTACTAACTAAAATGTTTTCCTGAGTTCTGTGAGCTGCTCTAGCAAATTAATTGGACCAAAGGAAGGAGTTGTGGATCCAATTTATAGCCAGTCAGTCAGAAGCACAGGTGACAACTGGGACTTGGGACTGGTGTCTGCTGCGGGGAAAGGAAGCCTGTCTTATAAGACTAGGCCCTTTCACCTGTGGGATCTGAGACTATCTCCAGGTACACAGTGTCAGAATGCAGTTGAATTGTAGGACATCCATTTGGCATTGGAAGTCTTGTGGAATGTTCTGAGTATGAGTGAAGTATTGGAAGAGACACACAGGAGGGTTTTTTTCTTTAAAGGACTGAATTTAAATTGAGTAGATGAAGGTATATGCTTGTAAGTCTCCTTAAATTCATGAAAAATGAGTCTCCAGGCTTTAGATGGATATGAATCAATGCTGGAAACATTTTGGCGACTACTTCCTGGCCACTTACCTCCCTAACTTGTATTCCTCGGGTTTGTAGCCAATGTACTTGATCAGCCGCTCTACGCCCTCTGCTGGAGGCCCTTGCCAGTGTGGCCACGTGTCTGGGCACAAGGACTTGTACCTAGGACGAGGAGAGGCACATCTAGACAGCCATCAAACCTAACACTAGCTCCCCACCATGGGTCGGCTTCTTTCTGCTGTACACGCCAGCCACTCAGCATTCCACAGTAGACTCCTGATTTCCTTGAATTCAACTTCTCTGAATTCGACACTATACACTTGGCAAGAAAGAAAAAAAGAAACTTTCACTGTGAGGGGAGGAGGAGTGGGCCTGTTTTCACAGAACAGTGACAGCAGAAAACTGAAGAAACCCAGTTCCACTCCTAGATATATACCTAAGGGACATGCAAACATGACCACACAAAAGCTTACACATAAATATTTATAGCATCATTCATCGTAATAGGCAAAAGGTAGAAACACACAATTGTTTAAACACATCATCGACGGACAAATGAATGGACAACGAATGTAGTCCGGCATGTGAAGAAAAGGTGCCGTGCCTGGTAAGTGACCAGAGATTTTTCAAGAGTAATTTGGAACCCAATGTTGACTTAAAAATCTGATTTCAGCATAAAATGCAACACCCTTCTAATATGCAGTCACTAGAAAAATAACCACGATGTCTATTGTATAAGGAAATAAGTGAATGCAGAGTCCAAAAGTACCTGTGGACCAAGGCAGGAAGCATGGAACTGGAGCCGACAGACTGAAACCACACCGCCTGGGTTCGAGCCCAGCTCGGTAGCTGGACAAGTCATTTCACCTCCTCACTCATATGACCTGAACAATAACAGGACCTCCCTCGTGGGGTCCTTCGTGCCCTTATAAAAGTTGAAATGTGCTAAGCCACAGAAAGTATCTGGCACAGACCAAGACTTCAACAAAAGAGTTAGCGACGGCATTCC